AAAAAAAAAAAAAAAAAAAAAAAAAAAAAAAAAAAAAAAAAAAAGAAAAAATCTGCTTCTCTTCGCGAAGTTTCCGTGTCCCCGAGAGGAGGCAGCGCGCAGCCCGCGTCCCCGCAGGGTCTGGGGGCGGAAGGGCAGCGCTGCCAGCAGCTCTGCAGCCGTGCATTTCCCGCACAGGTCGCCCTTTCCAGCAGCAGAGCAAGGCGAGCAGTGAGACAGACCCACTCGCAGCGCTGTCTGCAGCCGGCTCTATTTTTTTTTTTTTTTCCTCCCTCTCCAGGCAAATTTTGGAAGACCACAACAAATACCAGATGACAGAGCAAAATGAAAGTCTGACTTGGCGTTGCTTACTGTGCCCTCGCCTTCTAACGCTGCCATTCTCTCTTTGCGGGAGGGGTTTCCCTTTAGTTCGTTTCAAACCGTAGCGAAAAGAGCCCCGAGCTCGCAGGTGATCGTTGCGCTGAATCTCCCTTGAGCAGCCCTCAAAGACGCTACTATTAAGGATAAAGCTGAATAACCTCAAACGCACTGCAGTACATTCGCGTACACACACAAATATCTGTGGATCGGGTTTGCTGAGCCGGCCATGGAATCCATTACGCACAGTCCCAATAAAGTTGGATTTGCGAGGCTGTATATTTTTCTACACACCCACGCAGGCGAGAGCACACATATAGAAATGTGTATCTGGACGCGGTTAGACACGCATGCTATTTATTTGCGGGCACATCTATTTATGCATCTAAACCGTTACGCTATCGGTATATAAACAGTAGCTTAAGACCACATATACTTTTAAATGGGATGGTGTGGGTGTTCCGCGTATATTGGCCTCAATGAGCGCGTAAGAAATTAGAAGGGTCTGGAAGAAAAAAAAAAAAAAAAAAGAAAAAAAAAGGGAAAGGCGTTCCAAAATCGCGGAAGGACAGAGCTGCTCCTTTAGTTAAAAATAATGGTAATATTAACGAGATCGCCCAGCGAACGGCTCTAAACAAGGTCAGCTTTTGGCCAAGTGGCTGCAATTCGGCTCTTGACTGGAAAGCTTCCAAAGGCCTTGAAATTGGGATTAACGATCCAACTGTTCTGGTTAAGAAAGAAGCCAGAAGAAACAATTTCTTCTCAATCCATCCTCGCAGGGGTGTCACGGAGACCCCGGGGCAGCAGCGGGGCTGAGGCCGGGCACCTCCATTCCGCCGTGGGCACGCACTCCCCACGCACACGAGCACGCGTGGAGAAGCTCAGGGTGTGTATTTGCGCAAAACTCTCCCCGCAAACACCGACGGAGGAGGAGGATTCGGCCCCACGGACACAAAGGGCGTGCGGCCGCCTCCCCCCGTTGCACTGGGGCTGCTTCTTACCTTCCAGCCTTTGTTATGATCATCTCCGTCCCCACCTCGTGAAATTTCAGCCACAGCTCCCGCTCGTGCAAAAACACTTTGATCCCCTCCATGCCCTGCAAAGGAGAAAGGCAGAGCCATGAGCACCGAGCCCCGAGGAGGAAAAGCCAGGGAGGGAAGCAGCCGGGCGGTGGGGCCGGAGCTCGGGGAACGCTTCCCGGGCAGCGCCGGATCCTGCGGGCCCCGGTGCTGTGGGAGCGGGACGGCCGGGGCCGGCCGGGAGAAATCCCCCCTGCTGCGGTCGGGAGGCGGCCGGAGGAGATTCACATCCTTCTGATGAGTGATTTACACCCGCTTTTGCAGGCTGGGGCCCAATGGCTGCGATCCTCGCACCCCTAGGTCCTCGCCTTGTTAGCCCGGTCCGGAGGCATCGCTCTGAGCGGGGCGGGAGGGAGAACCACAGCCTGGCAAAACCCCCAAACCGAGGACACGTACACCCCTAACAATAACAGAACGGAAAACCGGCCGTGGGATCTCCTTCCAGGGATTTACCTGGGGCCGCCTAAGGATCCCGGCGAAGCCCTACACCCCGGCACCGATCTCCGGGGCCAGCTCTGAGCGCTGCCGCAGCCCGGCTCCTTGGCCCGGCCCTGCCCTCCTCTGCAGCGTGGGGAGAGCAGTTTGCTGCGGCCTGCCGGTGAGCCCACGTGCGTAACCGCGACTCGGGGGGGTCCGTCGGGTGAGGGTTGATGGGGATGTGCGAGGGGACCCTGGCTGTGCCCAACCCCCAAGTGGCTGCGGGCTGCCCACGCGTGACACCCACAGCGTGCCCTGGAGCCCAATGGCGGGCAGAGCAGTGTGTAGCCGGGGTACACAGGCACAATGTGTTCACGTGTACGTTTTCATGTGTATATATGCTCATACGTGTCTTAAACCAATCCACACAGGCACATAGCAAATACACAGCTGTCTGAGCTTGCATCTGCATGTGCATTTCTACGCTCAAGCACTGGCTGTGTGTGCCTGTCCTTGCACAAACGGGTCCCTCCCTGTTACATTCACTGCGATTTTTCCCTGCATGCCCCCCCAGCACTCAAACACGCTGCAAAGAACAGCAAAGCAGGAAAGAGCCCACCGTCCTGACCATCAGGTGAGAGCTTTCCTTCCCGTGAGGCCTAAAATGACTCATTCCTGCCCAGCTCAGGAGTAGAACTACAGCTGGGATCGGGGGGAAAACGCAGAAAATTGGCAAAAAAAAAAAAAAAAAAAAAAAAAGGAGAGAGGGGGACGAAAGAGAAGGGGAGCTGCGGCCGGATCCTTACCTGCTGGGTGAAGGCTGCCTGCGGAGAGGTGGGGGCCTTGCTGGTGGTCCCCAGCTGGGGGTCCTGCTTGGCCTCAGCCTGCAGCTCCTTGGCCTCCGAGTCAGCCGGCGTGCTCGGGAGCCCGAAGCCTTCCTCGGTGTCCGCCATGTTACGAGCTTCCTTCGCCGAATCCCCCACTGCAGGCACACATCGAGGAGAGAGCAGAGATAAGAGGCACATAAGTCAAGGCTGACGCTCAATCAAATATATATACATTAACGATACACATGCGCTGAGCCCGGCGCTGGGCAGGGCGGGAGGGCGAAGCAGCGCTGCTCGCAACTCACTTCCAGCAGCCCGGGGAGAGGACAAGGCCCTTTAACTTTTGGAGAGGGAGAAATAAAGACTTTTATTTATTATCGCAGCCCGCAAGGGATGATAGGATTTGGGGTGGGGGATGGGGAGAGGGGAGGCGGTATTATTAAATGCATCTTTTGGACAAGGTAAACAGCCGCCTTCCCGCAGTCCGCCCGGCAGCGCGCACGGGGCACCTTGCCGCGGGACCGAACCGCTCAGCACACGCGTGGCCGCGAGGTGGGGGTGTCCCGGGGGGGGGTCTGGGCCTCCCCATCCCCAGGGCCGATATCGGGCTCTCTGGGCCGGGGAGGCTGGAAGATCCCCCCGTCCTCCCCGAGAGGTAGGAGCCGCTTTCCAGCAAGCGAATGCCACCGCCACGTGACGGCGTTTATATAACCCCAATTCCAAAGAAAATTCAACTTCGTGCACCCCTGTGAAGCGCGACCTTTCCGCCAAAGTAAAATAAAACGAGTCTTTTATCCATCCTCCAAAACCCCAAACTCAAAACGCTGTCCCGAATAGTTGCAAATCAAGTCGGATTGGACGGACGAGACGATTAAAAAACATCTAAAAAGTGCGAATCAGTCCGATATGGTGCAAAGTAACGTGCGCATGGACTGCACATGCAGTGAGCTGAGCCCTAACGGGAGGAAAACTGCACCGGCAGAGCCTGAGAAATCCGCCGCTTACATCTGATGCGAGCAACAAGAGGAGTTTTAAAGGCGGTGTTTTGGTGGAGCTTTGAGGGCTCTATCAGGACTGGTAAAAGTTCCAAACAGGAAAAAAAAAAATAGCAGCCTTCCAGCAGTCCGCCCGAAAACAGGAAGGAAAAAAACAGGTTCAATTATCTGTAAGTATTTTTTTTTTTTTCGTTTGTTTTGAGGA